GGAAATGAGAACAGCAGGAGAGGAAAGAAGGAACTAATGAAAAAAGTGTAACACAGTTGGTCAGTCCTGCTTTTCTTCTCCTCTTCCTCTCTCAGTAAGTCTGCATCCCAAAGGATAGCTTATCTTTCAAGTTTGACATTGCAGTAGTGTTAAAAAGATGTTTTCCTCGCACTTAAGGTCCCACTTTGATTAAGTGCTGATATTGACGATTGTATGCTGATAATCATGATCATATTCATGACTATTTTAAAAGCCATTTAAGTGCAATGGAAGGAACGCTACAAAAGGTAGTGTCCTGTAAATTTCCTCTTAATCATTACACTTGTCCTACAGGAATAATGTATCTTTATTTCATAACCTGAATATTTTCAGGGATCAATAATTTTGCACGACTTGAGGATTTGTAATTCAGACTTAAAAAAAAAATATATAATTCTGTCAGTTTTGCTTATTTGGTTTACATTTCCTCAATCAAATGTCAACATGATGTTGTAGTTGTGTGCTAGCTTTTTACAGGATTTATCCCTACTAAGGAAGAGTTTTAGCATATACCGGAGAGGTCAGATGTAAAATAACTATCAAACTTCTTCCTGTATTTTTAAGACAGCTCAGTTACTGTAAAACCAGTGAATATTAGTATTAGTTAAGAAAAGTACTTAAGCATGTGTTCAATTTTAAGCTCATAAATAATTAAATGGCATTTGGAATTGTGCCTCTTATCTTTGAATCTGTTTATATTGGGTTTTATTGAAGTGCTTAAATTAACATACCCAAATGCTTTGCCAAATTTGGAGTTAAATTTACCATTAACTTTAAGATATTTCCTTTGCAGAAACTCGGTTTCTTTCTATGAAGGCTTTATTACAACCACTAATAAGTAAAAAAAAAATAAATAATTAAATCTTTAATGTTTATTGTATGGAAAAGTAATTGCTGTTTAAAAAAAAACCAACCAAAATGTAGTTGTTGATTGTGGATTTATATAAAATATATATGTGTGTTTGTATTTATGGAAAATACAATTTTTATTGTGTCTTAATTTAAAGAACTCAATATCTGTAATAATTTTTAAAACTGACACTAAAAATATGCATCAGTTTTCGGTCCTGGTATTTATCAGTGAGTCATGTTCTGCCTTGGGTTATGCTAAAAAATAAAAAATACCTGTGGTACACAGGCAATTAGTACAGAGGTGAATAATAATGGGTTGTCATTTTATTTTGTTTCTCTGCTAAATAGACACTCCCAATAGAATAACACCTGATTTATTGCTTTATAACTTTGTGTTTACTTCCTTTTACAAAGCAAAATTTTGAACTGAAATTCTTTTACCACCTATCTACAGTAGCAAGGTTAATAGGTGAAAAGTTTACTGTACTAATCGACTCTAAGTTATCATTTAAGTATTTCCTTTCAGTGAGGTTTTAGGATTCTGTGCTGGATAAATGCCGTGGACTTTGATAACAGGAGAGCCACATTTTGGACAGAACTGTGAACTTTGGTATAGGTAGATGTATTATTCTAGTTGTATAGACCACATGGTAAAGCTTCAGAGGTCCAGACTGGATGAACAATTCAGGTTTGATAATGTCATATAGAATTGGCCAAGTTTTTGGTTACTTCACCTTGCAATCATCCAGTAACTTGCTGACTTTGATTTCAGGAAGTTTCCTGTGAGTAGATAACTTTAGACAAGGTGACTGTGATACACTTGATTCCCATTCCTTTTGTGTTAGAGAAAGCAAAAATATGAGTAAGTGCAATTATAATAGAAATATGAGTGGGCAGTGCTGTTTGTAGCTTACTGTTTGAATCGAGAACTTTTCTAATGTTTCAGCTGCTTGCTGAATGTGCTACATATACATTGGGTCTTTACCCAAAATTTCTACATGTTCTACAAATGCAGAAACACTTTTGTATGAGTGTTGGTAATGAGCAGAAATGGTAGCTGATATGTGTTTTCCCTTTGACAACTTCTTGGTTAGAAAAATGTGGTATAATCTTATATTTGGCATATAGAAAGAATATGAAGAATAAAAGCGCTCTAGAGACTATTTACAAAATAAAGCCTGTTTGAGGATACACAAGATGTGTGATCCACTGCCTGAAAGGTTCAGAATTTTATTATCCACATAACAAGGGGAAAGCCTAACTGTAAATTAGAGTAGCATGAGTGATGTCTTGATTACGCTTCTTGATTTTATAGATGATCCTTAGTCATATGAAGGATTTAGAGGTCACAGAGGCAGAGATAGCGAGGATAACCCCAACAGTCACCTTAAAGGGGAAATCCCAAGTTCTGAGCAAACTTCAAAAGAGTAGAATCTTTTGCCAATGCCTGTTGTTTCAGTATGTATCCTGGCACCGTGACTGCCTTTAGAGGTGTGTAGTTCAGTCAGACTAAATTTCAGTGGTCATTTTTATTATACTGGGCTAATTTTGGGATAATCTCTTTGGTCATGTGAGCACTTTTTTTTAACCTTAAATTACCAAGTATATTCAGAAAAGGTCTTAGATAACGCGGGCTGTTTTGTCATAATTTTGTGCAAGTGAAAGAAGGAAACTATGTAATAATTTTTAATAAGCTATGTGGAAAAAATAGCTGATTACCAGAAATTTGAAATAAACAGTTTTCTTTGGTTTTTTTAGTAGGTTATGGGGTGATTTATGATGAATTTGTATACTGTAAATCATACACTTCCAAGTTCACGTGCCCCTCGAATGGCTCATACCTGATGAAGGTGGACAAATTTAATGCCCAACTTAATCACAAGCACACAGAGTCGGTTACTCAAAATCTTCATCTTGATCTGGTCTTGGAGGCAACTCTTGAGTGTTTTGTGTGTGTGGTTATACCCTCTTAAATAAACTTCTTTACTTGCCTGTGTTCCATGTTTTCCAATAGCTGGTTTCAGCGCTGTGTGCTTTGTACCTGCATTTGTGAAAAGGTAGGATTCATCTCTGTTTTCTGAGCTGCCAAAGCCAACCCAGTGTTTCTATAGAAGGGATTCTTGAGAATTATTTGGCAGGATGTTCTCAGAGAGAATTCACGTTTTGATTAGACCTTGAGATCTCTACTGGTTTTAGCTGTTTGGTGGCTCTTGCCAGGAGAGTTGAAGAGAGGGGAGAAGGATCAATGGTAGCATATTATCATTACATTTGATAATATTGGCACAAGGCATAGGGGTAGCCCTTTACCTACTTCTGACTCCATTGATTTATTTTCATCTGATCTTTGTCCTATTCAATATATGTTCCTCTCCAGTTCTGTGCTATTTCCGGTAGGGTTATCCAACGTGTTTTGACCTTAGTTCATTTCAAATCAGTGTGAATCGTATAGAACTCAGCCTTTTGAGCTCAAAAGGATTTTACAATACTTGGTAATTTCAAGTTCTTAATACTTTTACACTTTGAGCACATATTAGTTAACTAGCTTTCCCAGAGCTCATGTGGGAAAGTTGGGGTTTTTTTTATTTATTATATTTTCTATTAGTGTTCTCTTAAAACACTATTTTCTGTTTCCAGAAATAACTCCAAATGAGTCCAGTTACACCCAACAGGACTAATTATCCTAAATGTCAGCATTATAAGAGCAATAATAAGGTATGTCCTGTGGAAGAAAAGCACTCTATTATATGTGAACCTGTTGCATAAAGGGATTAGAAAAACTTGTCACTAATGCACTTGTCCGAAAAATCCTTGGATGGTAGGGTTGTTTCTTGTTCTTTGACAGATTTGCCTATCCCCGTTTCTGACCCTAGATATGTTTATATATGTGGCTCTAGTTTAATAGAGCTTTCCCGCTGCTGGAGGTACTAGAGGAAAGAGAAGCTTTTGGAAGCAGTCCCATTCTACAGTTGTCTCCCACACCTCTGTAGCATTACAGACCACTTCCCCCTAAAAGGGTTGCCTTTATTTTCTTTTTGCAGGTGGAAGGATTTTTTAATTGCTTATTCCATTTAACATGTTTTTTATAAACAATGAGCAATATGGAGGCAATGATACCAAATTATTCAGGTTGGTAAAGAGCAGGGCTGATGAAACTGAATAGATATTGTGTGAACCAGCACAGGCAGGATGCAGGAACAGCCACAAAACCACAGATGAAATGCAAAGCGTAAATTAGTTTCATTACCTCACCAATCTGGGGATCTCCAAAGTAGCACCCTGGCAGAGGGATGCAAGTGAGGACACAGGCACCACAGAGCTCAGTCCTTGTTAGAGGATCAACAAACCTGCTGGTTTTGCCCGTATTTCAGGGATTAGCACAGGCATAATTTACCATTGCGCTTTGATCTTTCCCACAACAGGGCAGAAATCTCAAGCGTGTTTGATAGGGTGCCTCTAAGTCTATCAGAGGACTGTATTATCTAGACACATGTTCTACTTGTCCAACACAAGTCCAAACAAAAATTAGTATGATACATGTGTTTTTTGACACCCCAGCTGCAAGTCACTTGAGTGTGTTTACAATCTCGCCGATTTTCTGTTATTTTACCACAGTTATCTATAATAAGATGAGCTTAATAGAAAAGCAATCCTAATGTCATATATAAAAAATACCCATTTCTACTGAGCAGTTCTAATCCAGAAAAGTATCTGTTGGTTTGAAGCGTGTGCTAGCAGTTTAAAAAAAACCCAACACTGAAGTTTAGGAATTATTAGGAAAAGTGTATAGAACAAAAAAAATAAAAGTAATTATTCCACTGTATAAATCCATGATTTACATGTATCTTGAATACTGGGTGTTTTGTTTCTTACATGTTAAAAAGCTTGTAGCACTCAAAAGGTTTTTGGGAGGATAAAATGGATGTTGAAAGGAAGGAATCATGTTCAGTGTAAGCAATGGGTAAGTAAGAATTCTTCACTTCGGAAAAAGGATGACTGAAGGGAGTTGTGTTCGATATCTGTAAAACTAGGAGGGACGGGGGCTAGGGAAATACCACTGGCAATGACCAAAAGCAGATGACTGAGGAATATAAATTTGCCATGTTGTATTTGGCAGTGCTTTCCAGTTAAGTTGTTCTGTGGCCTCAAAATATGTGTAGCTCATGGATTTCCAAAGCCGGACATGGCTCACAGGCATTTAATAAACCTCGGCACACTTAAAACAACCTTTGGCCACGTGTTGCACAAGTCTGACACCTGCCGTGGTTCCTCTGGTTCTAAACCTTGGTTTCCTCCAACTGTTTCTTGTATGGGAAATACCCAAGTGCTTTTTCATCCTTATTTCACAATATATATCAGTGGTTCATTCTAAAATGTCAATGTGTAGCTGTGACACAGTGAGGAGCAGGACATGGCATTGTTATTACCGACAGGAATTAATCATCTAATCTTAAAACCACATTGAAGATAGGGCAAAAGTGCACACAGATCTGTGTTAGTATGATGACGTCAGCGGAATCGTCATCTATTGGTCGTAAACACCAATGGTATATTGCTTAGGAAGTTCTTGGACAAAATCTACTTGGAGGTTGGGAGAGTATTCAGGAAAGTATGACATGCTTGTCCTGCTTGTTCACATATTCTTGCAGACAAGTTTCTGGGCTAAATTGACATGTATCTGGGCTCGTATGGCCACCCTTGTATTAAAGTTAAACGTGGAGATAGTCTCTCCAAGGATGTAACTTTTAACTAAGGCTGTAGTTACACAACTTTTTATTGCCTGTACAGTCCATGTAAGTTTGACTACCTTTTTTCTCCCACTCTTTTTTCTGTCTTGACCACAGCAACACAGTCTCAAGTTGGAAGGGGATGGGTCACCAGGCACTGATACCTCTGATCAGTGATGCCCAACGGAAGTGTTGCAATTGATTAGGTGAATCCTGGTCTGAAAAGCTTGAGAATGGGGTAAAGTAATCTGATCTGGACAAACATAAAACACCCCCATTCATTTGACTTAATGAACTTAAAGATGTCTTCAAAATGTTTATCGTGATCCTGATTCATTCAATTCTATGAATGCTGCCATGTATTTTCTTAAAGGAGCTGGAGCTACACGTGTACCACACTGGAGTATGAACGGGATTTATGGGCAGTAGTTCTGATGACTCACAAACAAGCCCTAGCGCTGACTTGCCACATCAGTATGTTAACATCCTTGCGTCTTTGTGCACTCCCGCTTTTAAAAAAACTGGGCTGTCTGCAAGCCACGCTGCTTTTTACTTCTCGCTCTTGTATGCTTCATACACTGCCAGGTTTTTACCATCACGTCATTGATCACCTTGCAGCTCCTAAAAGCGAGGCTCCCCAGGTTTTTTATATGTTTGTTTAAAGAAAGCACATATTTGATTTCCAGTGAAAGCCAAGAGATTTCAGGGGGTTTCAGGGTAATGTTGCAGGCAGTGCGTGGCAATGTAGAGAACAGCAGTCTAACTGGATGTGTGCCTTGCGGTGCATCTGTACTGATGCCCCTGCCGAGAGCAGGGGAACTCGAGTCTGGGCTGCTTCCTTTAAGCTGCAGTCGCTGGTGTCTGAGCTTGGATAGCACAGAGATAGATGAGCTAGCTTTATATTGTATTTCATTCACTTGCCAATGAAGTCCTGCTGTACCTTTTTGGTTGTGGTTGTTTTTTCTTTATTGTAATGCAGGTAAATTCTTAATTTAGCCAGTAGGCAATGCTGTAGACTGATTAATTTCTCATCCCTCTTAAGTAGCTAGGCAACCAACTGCAGTTTGAGCAGCACAGTGATACCTGCCTGGCTGTTGGATTAGGTCTAAGTAGTTGACCAAGGTCACAAACGACAGAGAACAACAAACCACAGTTATCCTTTGTTTTAGTGAAAGGCCGCATGGGCAGAAAAGGAAAATCTGCTTTTATTACTCCTAAGTGTCAATATTTGCTTACACGTGAATGCTGTCATCTCTCCCGTCATCCTGTTTCTACTGTGGCTGCTAGTAGATTCACAGTGGTGTGGATTGATTGTTCCCGGGTACATCCCTGCAGTCACTGACAGTCAGAAGTGAAGGACTTCATAAGCAGGCTGTGCATCAGCACTGTCCCTATGTACCCAGAGACAGACCTGCACCTCTCAAACCTGTGTCTGATTCCCTTCAGAGTCTGCTCCTGCTTTGGAGCCCTGCAGCATCCTGTGAAAATGAATGCCCAATTTTTGTGCAGAGCCTTGCAGTTAAAACACTGCGGTCAATAGATGTCAGTGAAGAACAAACATTTCTGTTCCTTTTGGAGGCAGTGCTGCTTCCGTTTTTACTGGCGGAAAGCCTGGATGGCTGCAGAGCCCACACCAGAGTGGTCATGTCTCTGGTGCCGTGGGGTTTCGGTTGTTCCAAAGACGGCTATTTCTCCACTTAACATTGGCCTGTGGGACCAGTTTGGAAAGAGGCCAAAAGGAGGCACGGCAATGTAATTTGTGGCTTAATGCTTTTTTGTCACTGGGTTTTTTGCTCGAGCAGCTGTTGAGTGCTCCTGCTCACTCCCTGTTGGGGCCTCAAGGTGCCACTGCTCCTTTCCGCTTGGCCAAGGAGAAACTTCTTCCTCAGGAGCCCAGGAAGGGCAGTGTCTCACCACACACACACAACCCGTCTTTCACTGTCCTTTCCTACAGTTTATCCTCTGCAGAATGTGGGACGGGTAAACGGATTCAGGGAAAGGGGAGGACTGTCTCCTGTGCAAGTTAATAGAGAAGCTGCTGCAAAATTGTCTCTCATAGTTTCTGGCCCCGTGAAAGAAGGTGGATTGTGGTTACCTGTTAGGCTGGAACTGGTGAAAGTGATATGCCGCTCAGTCCTATTCCCCCTTTCTGAACATGGTCGCCCTTTCTGAAGAGTGATCGCCTTCACCCCCACGCTCAGTCCTTTGTGTCAGACGTGATTCCTCCTGTCCCACTCCACTGGGTCTTT